TACGAAAAATTCCAAACTATCTGTTGTGTTGCAACAACCTCAAAGATAGGAATGCATATTACAAGGAACATGTGTTGTTTTAGAATAAAATCTTAAAATTAATCTTTCATATTTATCTTGTAGAATACATATATTCGAAATCGTTTTCAGAGGTGTATTTGATAAAAAAAAATATAGCTCAATCTATAGGCCCTAACATAGCATTATTTAAAAAAATACAGCAAAAATAATTTCAAATAAGGTCAAAAAATATAAAATCAGGTAGTAGCGATAAATTTGTGAGACTCAAGTTTTATGATGAACGAAAAAAAATACTACTAATTGCCTATTGATAATACATTTCTGCTTTAAGTTGTAACAAACTATCGTAAGAACTACCCAGGTTAAAAAAAAATGATTTAATGAACATGAATAAATTAAATAAATTCTACGAATGACAAAATAATACAAGGATATTGTTATATTTCATTAGTTTTAAATTAAATGTATTTTACATTTTACATACCTATTAATATGTTAATTTAAATTGCGTTCATGATGTATAAGGATAAAAAAAATACTTTCCTAATTGTTTGTTATATACACTAATAAATATCACAATACTATTCAAGTTTTAGTAATTTTAATGACAATGTAAATATAATTGAACTATTCCTTATAAGCAATTCTCAAACTTTTTGCGGTACATTTTAGAGTTGAACAAACTTGAACAAATTTTATGAGTATAATTTTATAATTTTATAATTTTTTTTATGTATTTTAAAAATATTTAAGAGCGTCCCGGTAAAAATAAGGACCATCCTAATGCAGATATACTTTTTTTATGATATGAAAAGTGCGAGGAAAATAGCCACTGAATGGTCACACATTACATGGTAATTTATTTACATTTTATTAGAATTGTATTTATGATAAGTCAAGACACCATATTTAGCCTATGAAGAGGATTGTGAGGCATTATGTCGGAATTTAAGGCTAATATTAAAGGATTTGGATGGTTAATTAGTCGGGAGCAGAATCGTTTATGTAGTACTTTTATAGCTACTTCTACGGTATGTAGGATATGTTTTGAGATATACTTATAGAATGGGGTTAATATTTATTTCCATTTAGTGTACCAAAATGATATGAAGTTTAAATTATTTTATGACTTTTTATGAGTAAAAAATTATTTTCAAATTATTTTTTCATTGGCAAAATCTGAAGTGAGGGGTCGTTGGTTGAAGTATAGATTAAACAGAATAAAAGAATATATGACACCCTTGTGGATTGCTGATGCTATTGGGACTAAATAGGTACAATATTTCAGACTCTATCATTGTTGTGAAATTACGGTCTTTAAGATACGACTTGAAGAATAAATAGTAAGGTTGGGTTAGGATTTTTGTTCAGTTAATACATAAGACTAGGTTAGCAAACTTTATCAAATGCTTGGGTCACGTTAAGAACGATGGTTGAAAAGATTTATTTTTCAAAGAATAATCCATTGAATCCGTCAACCGGTGTATATGGCGAATAGTCAAATAACTCTTACATAAGCCAAATTAGGTTTTTGGGATAACTGATATGTCTTTTATGAAGAAAAAAGTACGGTTTAAGACTGATATTTCTAAAAGTTTTACAAATAAAGGTAGAAAAATTATCATTTTTTAAGATTAGTGGTATGACAGCTCCAAGATTGGTTATTGACATTCAAGTCCCTTCCTACTACGAATAATGACCTTAAAATAGGCTGGGACGATCGACGTAGAACACGTGCATAGTGCGTACCTACGCGATGGATATAAATGGTTACATAATGGTACCTCAGATCGACAATAAATAATTTTGTCACGTGGTGAGACACTAAAATGATGCGCAGCAGTCATTTGTTTTGTCGAGCGTACACGTCGTACAACGACTTCTTTATTTTTTCATCGATGCGCGTACTTGAAATGTATATATCCACATTTACACGTAATTTTGACATTTTTTCTCTCCACATAAATCAAAAATACCAATCAAATGTACTCGTTATCACATTTAGTAGTAACGGTGACCGTGTTTGAATTTTTCGCGTTTATTTTCATTCGTATTGCATAGGCCTTTGAAACTTATCCCGTCCACTCCTTTTACTTATAATAAATTGGCGTTCACTCGAGATTTGTTGGTTTTTTAATTTTTTTTTTTTTTTTTTTTTATAAATACATTGCTAACAGCACTCCACGCGCGCATGTTCGACGACGTGAAAAACCGTTCCGATTAAAAATAACCGTCGTGGAGACGTCGCGACATCAATCGGTTTCGATCCGTATAATCGACGACCGACGATTATTGCAAGTCCAGGCAGACACGACGCGGACCACTCCGACGGACCGCTCTCGGCTGTTACGACACTTGGTACGGGGTGAGATAATAATGTCAGAAGATCGACGGGGTTATCAATTATTCCAGCGGTCCTCGCGCTTTCCGGTGATGAAATGCTAATACTTTGCTCTCCGGTTGTGCGGTTTCAAAGCACGGCCCCGGAGACCCATTTGCCGGGATGATTCCGCCCGGCTATTAAACGGTTTGGCAATATTCCCGAAGGCTCGGCCGCCGCCGTAATAATTGCCATTCCGATGGAAACACACCGCGCGGATATAGTTTATATTGTCCGGGGTGATGGTGGTTTATTATTACGCGTACAGGAGTAGTTTTTAACAAAGGCGGCGCGATGAAAATATATAACGGTTATCAAAAGTACATTTACACCGTCCCAACCGATACGCACTGCTTCGTATTTCACAAGCCGCGCACCCCGTACCACCCTGCAACGATATTTTTTCCGTCCGATCCGACCCTATCGCGCGCGCTTCCGCGAGTGTACAGGCCGATTTTTATAAACACGCTCATCTTTTTTTAATTCTTAAATCATGCTCATCTCGAACTCCGAGAACTGATATCAACTGTAGTATAAAACACTATATTTTCCAATTGACAGATTTCATTTGTACATTTGTCATTGATTCATACTCTTTTTTTTCACATTGAATAATTCCGAAAGCGCAATGATCCGAATATTCTCAATGTCCAATAAACAATTTCAGGAAAATTAATTGTAGAATTATTTATATAAAATATGGTGTGAAAACAATTGCTGATATTGCCACAAAGTACTCCTAAGGAAGTACAACAATTCTATATATTAGAAAATATAGTTTAACAGTACACATATAACAATAATAATCAGAATTAAAAAAATATTCATTGCTTAAGAATAAAAAACGACAAAACTGTTAGGTCGAGTGAGATGATGGAATGGGTGAATGATATTGTGGAATTGTATGTGATATATTATAAGTATTCAATTTATACGCAATTTCAGGGTGTGACGAGGAAAAAAACTTAAAACGATTTAAATTTTTGCTTTAATAGCGGATGAAAAACTGAAAACCGGTGACTTTTTCGTTTACACTTCGCTGTAGAACACAGTTTTGCGTCCTTCAATACTGTTCCTATTATTTTTATATTATTCGATTGATTAATAGCTTAACTTAATTTTAATGGTTAAATATAACACATATTGTTTTAAATTGTGAATTGTTACAATATTTAATGTATGTAAAAGTTGTTTGTGACCATATTAAGAATCGGTACTTAAAAGATTTTTTCTTATTATTATTAATAGAAAGCAAATGATCTCATGAGTCGATTGAACGTTTTTCATGTTCATCAAATAGTGAATTTCATATGAAACTAAAACTAATATTTTTAAGTATCATTTAATTACCAGGCCTTATGAGGTTTTAAAACTATTACCGTTTTAAAAGTTGAAATGAGTATTTTAAGTTTTTAAATTTATATATTGCATTTATGAATGGATTCGACGTTCAAAGTTAAAAATGGTTTATTTAAATAGACACTTTTAAAATTTTTATATTAAATTATATGTAGATATATGTCAGACAACTGATAAACTAACTGATAAAATTAATTTTCAATAGAAGTAATTCACAACATTTTAACTAAATATAATTAATGTTTAGAAGCAATAGTTATTATTTTTTTTATGTACAAACATAAAAGGACTTACATATTTTAGAAATATCCATGTTTAAAAATAAGAACAACTAAATATTTATCTAAACTAATAGAAACGAAATTATACTTCTAGAGAATAATAAATTATTTTTAATGTAAATGAATTCTAAATATGAAAATTAAATATTAAAATTTAAATTCTGTATACAAGTATTAAAATGACCAAGATCTTAATTTCAACCCAAATTATTTAAATATTCATGTATATGTATCTAATTTAATCATTGAATTAAGTTCTAAAGTAGTTCATAAACCATGATTAATTATAAAAATGTAATTTATTTTAATGAGTAACTATTGTGATTATTAATGAATTATAGACTCAAACATATGCTGTTATACTTATTAATAATTTAATTTATTAATTTCTACTTTTATATTATTAAAATATGATCTATGGAGTATTCATATTATTTTCAATATCTTAAATATTTAAAAAAAATTGTTAATATACTTAAATATTAAAAACACTAAACGTATAAAAGTAAAATAATTAATTTTAATTATGTGATATTTTTTCTGTTAAATTAATAATGGATATAAACCTCGAAAAATGCTATGGTATTAAAATTTGAAAAAAAAATTAACTATTGTCTTTTAGCATCAAATGCATTTACAAAAATAAAGTAATATATTGAAGCTGGGTAAAAAAATATGTAAAAAATATTCTAAGACTGAAAAAATATTTACAAAGTTTTTATCAAAAGCATATCTTAATTTTTGATTAAGTTATATAGTTTTTACATATAAAATATTTCTATTTTTTTTTTTTGTCCTTTGATGTCTCTTATTTAACCATATTTTATGTTTATTAAAAAATAAATACATACTACAATGAAGACATAATAATTTCATAAGAAAGATATTAAAAATATATTTTGATATCGTTCGTTAGTAAAGAAAGAAATATATTACTAGTTATTTTCGTTAATTCTCATTAAGAACGATTATTATTTTCTAAAACATAAGATAAGTTAAAATATCGGCTTACAGCATGTATCAGATAATCCAAAAATACTGGTGATAAGATTTAATGCACATTTCAATACAAACTTAATAGGGTCATAATCGCAATTCGGTTCTCCCATGTCACTGTAGTCTTCTGTAGTGGTTTCAATCAGTTCTACATTTGACGTCGTAGTGGTCATTTGATTTGTTCCCTCCGTGTTTGTAATCTTTGATTCAACTAAAGACATTGTCACCGGTTGTGATATGGAAGGCGTTGTAGGTATTGTAGGTATTGAAGGCATAGAATGTTTCATAGATAAATCAGGCGATGTGTGACTTAGGGCTTCATCTTCATTAAATTGAGGACGATAAGTTCCTTCAGGAGCATGTTCTTCAACGAGTTCTAACGATCTTTTTACTTTTTTCTTAAGGTTTTTTATTGAAACCTTACTTTTTGATTTCCTCGCATAATCATCAACTTTTGGATCTTCTTGGTTTCGTATCTTATAGTTTGCGTAATTTATCCGACTGTTATTAATTTTATTTTCATTGTAATTGTATTGCGACCACAGCATATAAATAAAACTACCCGAAAACTTTACAGATGGCGAATCGTGCGTGGTTTTGTTTTCAACACAAAGCAAATCATTTGGTGAGCATTTTATCGAGTCTGTAACAAAATAAAATATGAATAACTATATTATATTGTTATGTTAATAATGAATGATAAATTTATTTTTAAATATTTATTAAATAGAAGGATAAATTGATATATATATATTATCACTTGTTGGTCGTTATTACATAAATAAATAATAAAATAACCAATGAATAAATATAATAATAATAATTCTTTATTATAAATAATAAAGAAAAATATCACGTTATAATATTAAAAATGTTGGTAAAATTAAGTTCACAAAAATGTTTTTTAAAAAATAATAAATAATAGAAATAAAATATATAATAATAGATAACGTAGATTTGAACTGTATATTTTATTATGCCAACTTTCAAAATTGTTGATAGTTTTATTTATTTTTAACCAATTTTTATTAAAATTAAGCTTCACTAACACTACTCTGCAAAGGAAACTTTTAAAAAAATAACAAAATAACACATTAACACAATTAATTTTAGTTCCACACGAGCCGTTATCATCTTTTCTGATGTAATGTCATAAATTCCAATAATAAATATCAGCTTCTTAAATATTGTTTGGTTTTACGTACTTCATTATCTATGGTAAAAGCTTAAGATCATTAATTTAAATCATAAAATACTAATAAATCTTTAATCTCATCGATGAATGAATCGATGCCGAACTAAACAATGTCCTATAATTCCTCCACCACTTTGTAATGAAAATTGCATTTTCTAGTTTTTAAAAATCTAAAAGTGCCTAGGTAAACTAATTCTACTTTAGTAAAATAAACTTTACATTTCAAAATAAACCGAGTTATTTTTATCCTTTTATTGTCTAGTTTGAGTCTAGCAACGATAGGTATAATTATATATTTAACAAATTGATTTTGGTTTTCGATTATATATGAAACTAGGAACAATAGTATTTTTATTAAATGGTAATTTAAAAATAATATGTTTTTAATTAATATAGTTATAATTTTATATTATTAAAAAGTAATCATTGCAGTTTTATTTAAATAATTGACAACACCTCTTATTTTAAAGTAAATTACTTTTATTTATTATATTTTAATTAATTAATTTTCAGGTAACTTATAGTCAATCTAAAGTTGACTGATGCAAAAAAAAGTAATTTAGATAATAGGCTCAAACGGAAAACCACAGAAGTGGTTAAAAATATACTATATAACAAGCACAAATGGCCCCTTAGAGAAATATTAAAATGAGAATGCTTTTTAGATTAAATATAGTCTCAATAGCCATTATACTCACCAAAGTTTAAGCTTCCGATTACATTGGAGTAAGTAAACATTGACTTACCGCTTACCTGTAAGATAAATAACAAATTTCATGTTTGTTTTTGTTTAATGTTAACAATATTTTTAAATATAATAGTTATAATATATATATATATAATTTATTGTTAATTCAAATAAATAAAATATTAAAATATTTTGTTTGGTAGTAAATAAATGTGGTATTCTATAAATAAATGAAATCAATTATATTAAAGAAAAAATTTAATAAACTTGTAGTAAAAAAAAAATGTAAATATTTTTAAATACGACGAAAGAAGAAAATTAGGTCATAAAACAAAAACTTTTTGGAATTTAATAAAATTCCTTGATCATACGGAAAAATATTTATCAGAATCATTATTTGTCAGTTGATCTATAATTATTCATCATTGCAATATATGAATACCTAATAAATTCTATGATAATACAATATCAATTATTTTTAAAAAAGTCACATTTGATTATCAGTGTTATAATATTTATCTGAATTGAATGTGCATAATTAATAATATATATTTTTATGTGAAAAGTATTCAAATCTCGAAAGGACTAATTTCGCATGTTTAAGTCTAAAATAGTTTTTTTAAAATATCGATATGTAAAAATATTACATCTGAGCTCATTATATACATATTTATATGAATGTTTTGTAGTATCATAATAAAAATGATTATTATTGAAGATGAGTTCACTTTCATACAAACTGGATGAATACAATTCTATGGTTGATTTTTCCCTAAGGTGTTATAATTAAATATGTTTTTAACAACTTATAGTTGGTAAGTTGAACCATTTCACATTTTAAAACTTTACTACTCATAATAACTACACTTAAAAAGAAAAAAAAAACTCTAAATTTATTATTAAGCAAAAACCAATATATTTTTTATCAGACTGACTATAATTTTTTATTACTAAAAAAACAATCAATAGTTTGTAAAAAGGTAAATTAAATCATGTGTAAACGTATAGATACTTTGAAAATACAAATTAATTTTTTTTAGATTATTGGTTAATTATTGGTTATAAGGAGTGCTCTGATAATCACAAAAAAAAATTTTAAAAAATAAAAATTTGGTTCTAGTAGGTATTTTGAAATGAGGAAGGGATGTTGATTTTTTTAATTCTCTGTCCATTTTCTTGACAATTGTGAAAAATAAAAGATAATTTTAAAAAAAAAACGGCAAAATTTAATATTGGTTTTCATCGTAACTCAAAAAACAAAAATAATCCGAAGGGCCTTGAAATGTTTACTGAATGCTTATATACCAATTCGCTCTAGATGATATAATTGTCAAAATAATTGTTTAGACTATATAAGGAAAATTGAAAAATTTAACATATTTTCTTTTTGAAAATGTTGATAAAATAATTTTGGTTTGACAAAATCCATACAATTTTTTTTTAAATTTTCTTGTACTTGTAAATTATTGATTAAAGAAAAAAAAATTCAGTTTAATAACAAACAAATAAAAATATATAACAAGACATTTAGATACTTCATTTCGATAAAAATATAAAAATTACGATAATCTACTATTTTGTTTTTGGTAACTTATCATACAATTTTAAATTTTTATACTGGAGGCTTAAAAATTGGTTATAGCATTTTTTATTTGATTTTTTTTTTTTTTTTTGTACTTAAAAAATAATATTAGAAAGTCACAAATATGATTTATAAGCCCTACAAATAAAATGATGACCGAGTTGAAATTTTCATTAAATTATATTAGTTATTCAATCAATGACATTTTACAGTTTTGAATTATTTTAATGAAGTTTGTGGTGTATTAGGCACTTGAAACTTTCAATTTTCCCAAATTTAAGTCACTTTTTTTGCAAAAGTAAGAAAATTAAAAATGATATAAAAATATCTTATTAAGTAATTTAGTTATTTTACTAATATTAACTATTCTTAGAAATATAAGTCGATTCACTCAACCTCCTTAACTTTGAATCATTTTTTCAATAGCAAAATTTTAAAGACTAATATAACAATACCATTCATATATTAATAAATAAACAAACAGCTTATACGTAATTGAGAAGTAAATAAACGCTAAGCATTTCTTTTCATTTATCCTTGTACATCATCAGATCATTTGAGTTTCACTTAACCTAGAAGTTTGGTAATTTTTTAATTTATAAAATTTCTTGTTATATTCTTACTGTTTTCTTTTTTTAGAACACATTTAGACTATCTTAGTATTATTATTCATAGCTACAATTATACTTTTAAATAAATTACACTAAAGTTTATAAGACGCGTTTAATGTTATTCTATCCCTTTTATATTTATGTAATCTTTGAAAATTCACAAACCTATTAAAATAAAATATATTTTAAGAATAATGCAAACGAAGATGTCGAAATACTTAAAATATAATAAATATTATAGGTAAACTATTATTTGTATGAGTATTACAGTAAACAAACTTATTGTTTTAGAATAATAATTTTTGAGTATTATCATTTTCATATACCTATTTTGATTGTATATCGTCTATGGTTATAGCGAGTAATTAAATCCACTAAAAGCAATTGCTATTTGAAATACATTTCTTATCATCTATAAGTTTATTGTAAAAATGTGGGAAAATGACCACTTGGACTAGTTGAGAAAACCCTTGACGTGTAATTGCGAACTTAAAGGACTTACCAATCATATGTCTCAGGGGAATTCATGACGAATTACGGATGTTATATGTGTTTGAACAGCGATTTGGAGAGCAATCGAAACGACATAGCAAAGTCGACAAAATGATGTTACAAAGGTCGGCAATTTAAAAATTCTCGTAGATAGCCACAATTAAAATCTGAAGTCTTATAAAATTGACACATACTCACACACACACACACACACACACACATATGCACGCACGTGCGCACTAAATATTTTCACTCGAAAAGTAGAAAACTAAAACGTCGGCTTATTTTTGTTGAACAAAACTGAACAAGAAAACATTGTTATATTCCCTATTATAAAGACTTCATATGAGAAAATCTTTATTGTAGAAGTAAATAATGTTGACAGATTATAAAATGAAACTTAATAATTACTTTTGTGTCTTACTTTCAATTAAAAATCAATATATTATGAGTAAAAATTAATAAACATTATAAATTGTTACAATTGATCACTTAATATAACAGTGATTCATAATTATAAAGATGTTATAATAATATCGAGAATAAAAAAAAAAAATAAAAAAATAAAATATATTTTATTATAACGTGATATAAATGAATATCAACGTATTAAATATCAATAGGTATTTATTAAAATTGTCAACAGTAAAATTATACACATAAGTTCACACTTCTTGACCAATAAATACTCCGTATTGTTATATATGAATGTTTTTAAATTGTATACTAAGTTAAAAATGTAAATATTATATTTTATTATATTGTATGTACATAATATGTTTACGATAAAAATATTATATCGTTCATTTAACGTTTTTACTTGGTTCAGAATTAGTTTTTTTATATATATTATTAAAAGAATTATGAGTATATTTTTTGCTCAATTTTTTCAGATATTTTAGATGCATGAAAAATTTGAAAATGAAGTTAAAAATTAAATATAATGGTCTTATTTGAAAAACTTTTGAATAAACTAAACAGATAAAAAAAATATTTATTTATGTGAAGAGAACTTAATATATACATTTATTACCCAGTACTTGAAAACGTTACTTACATAAAGAAAAACGTAAATATATTGTATTATAATCATGGTATTTCTTGAAGTACACCATGCACACAAATGAATAATGTTCTTTTTACTATATTTCAAATATCTTCGGCAAACCGCATACTGTTATAATAACATTGAGTATGAGTAAAGTACCTTTTCATCCGGAAACTAAATTCAAGAGTATTTTAAATGTACGCGTCACGTGTATACCATATTATTATCTATATTTTTTGTGTTCGTATTGTTATCATTTTACAAACTATATTTCAAACATGAATTTTCTATTCAGTACGTTTCTGTCCATTATTCTACAATGATTCATAAACGGATAAAACAGAATCTAAAATATAGTGAAATAATACACGCACGATACGGAGAATAATAATAATAATAATTATTATAATTATAATAGTATAGGAGTATTATGGTACTTCACAACATCACAACGTGATCTTCTATCGACAGCATATTTTCATCTATATTGTGTGGTTGAAATTAAAACCGTGTTTCATATATTGCTGCAATAATAATTTTCGCCCAACATCGAGAACGAAAATATATATAAAAATAATTCATTAAACGTTTGATCTGATGTCGTCGTTAGGAATGCGGTATATTTACGCATAACATGTACAGAGTAATTGATAATAAAACATACATAAACAAACTACGAACAATAGGGAATTTTGTGTTACACGCTAAACACATATTTATCAATCGAGTATAATGATTATCGGATAAAATGTCCCAACGCAATTAATATAACAATGATTTTTTTAGGTATGATGTATGTTGTTCTCATAACGCATAGCGTATGTATAAGCTCTTTATTAAAAAAAAAAAAGCATAACATAATGGCTCTGAAATATAGACTACCGGAAGAACAATATTATTATTGTTGTGGTATGTAACGTTTTATACATTTTACTTCACCTGTTTGCTAGCACAATAGACATTAAGAAAGCCTTCAAACTTTTATACTCGAACAAGTCCAAGTCTATAGTCAAGTAGTAGATATTTATTTAAACTGCATAAAAGTAGACGTGTGAAAAAAAACCATACCCACACCCGTATAATTGTCAATATTTGCGCGGGAGGGAATATATTAACTAAACTGTTAAACGTTTCAAAATGGAACGGATTATAGAATTGAGATCAATTTTGACTGTGTATTCAACATGCGTTTGGCGAGCAAAAAAAAATCGTTCTACCCGTTGAAATTACTAAAAGTCATCGCACCGTTTTCTTGCCCGTTTCGTGACGTTTCACGATGATGCATTCCGACGCCGCTGATGTCAGTGAACATAAAGAACGGAGAAGACGATGGAAACCCAAATAGATTGCATGTAATGACTGATGAAGGACGCCTGACGCTTGACGGGTATTGTGACTGATAAGAGGCAATAAAACGCGGCACCATATGATAAATGCATATTTAAAACGCAGTACAACTTGGTTCCGGAGGATATGCATCAATCAGGATAAAAACCATGACATGTATACTAACAAATCTTTTCTGTGTTTTGTTACATGCCCCCGAAGGCATAAATGAGATATTAAATGCACAAAGTTCAATTTTTTTTTTTTTATGTAAAATATTATTTTCATTGTATTTTCACTATATGCGAGCTCTCGTTGTCGAATAATCCACGTGGCACTGAAGTCCAAATTAAAGTAATGTATGACTGTATATATAAAACATCGAAATATAATTATAGATACATACATTTTAGAAATATTTTTACTCCAATATTCTATAAGTTCTTATTCACAAACATTATTGTAATTTAAAAATAATACAAGTTAAATTCAATCATTGAACTATAATAATAGGTTACAATGCATATACATTTACAATAATATTTTTGGTATTATGTTCAATATAACTATTAGATATTTGACTATAGTTTTACAATTAATTTCAATAAAAGTCAAGTTGTAGATTATGTTGATTTGTTTGATATTATATTGAACTATAATTGAATAATGAAGATGTTGTTATTAATTACCAATTAGAAAAAAAATAATTATTTCATTAATTGGTAACCAATTAACTACAGATAATTAAAATATTTAATAAAAACCACCATTAACACCTTCCTACTTTAGGAAACCGGAAACAAATGTATTGTAATTTTTTAAACTTGGATAAAACTCAGTGAGAAAAAATATTTAACATTGAATTACTTATATAAAACGTCAAGTGATAAGGTAGATTAAAATTGAAAATTTGTAAACTAAAATCTTTTAGATTTTCATAATCAACATATTAAACTCCTATTATAAAATTATAATCTTAAAAAACTTCATTTACAGCTTAATTTCAAAAAATTATTATAAAATAATTATTAATGATTCCATTTATTATTAAATAACTTATTTGAAGATAAAATATAAAAATTAAATAAACAAACTCTAAATTATAAGAAAAATTTTGAAATTTCAACTTGAAACATATTTTTTCTATAAATAAATGGACGATATGAATAATTAACCAATCTATAATATTTATGAAAACTATTTCTATAAATAATACTAATTATTTGTGGAAGTAACAAATTGAAACATATACTAAGGTATAAATTCCAATTCGTTAAATATGTTGTTATCTACTCAAATCAACTTCATATCAATATGACGTATTGTACTTATGTCATATTATACAATAGACATGGTGCACCAATGCATTTACACGTGCAAGTGATAAGGGATTGCACTACAGGCATGAAAAGTTTGTCAATATGTATGACAATTTTCCTGAATCAAATCTTATACAAATCATATCAGAACACTGATCATATCTTACAATTTCGAAAATATCTGCATTATATAATCATAAAATATTTATAAATATTTTTGACTGTAAAACAATTGTAACATTATTCATTTTTCGATAGTAATAATTGCTAGAGACACATAATCACAAATGCTTATACATTTTTTAAATTGATGATAGTTCGTTTAAAATAAATTTCTTATCGCTTTAGTTTAGTCTCTGACTGCGGCTTAATAAAGACCGATGTTTTTTAAAATCGTTGTATAATATTAAATAATTTCAAATTCTAAGATTACAGGCAATTAAAAAATCGATATTATAATTTTCGATATAATAATATATTTTGTAATGCTAGTGTTATTGTAAGTAATAATAGTGAACAAATTTATTTGACCATTCTAAAAGTTTGGAGCATAAGCATGATTAATGTACAAATCAGATTACGAGTATATCGAGAGAAATTGTAAGAAGCTCATTGAAGAGAAAAGCAGAAAACGATCTGCACTACCGTTTGTCGATGAAATTATGCTAAATTAAATAGCTCAAACAAAATGTTTAAACCCAACAGTCTATGACAGCAGAATGTAATTAGACAGAAAGTCTTAAGCCTTATTTTTGGAAAATAGATGAGTATAATAATTTTTCCAATATCAGTAACAACGACTTCGAAATTTCAAGATATACGCTGGTTATGTATATATACCCTATATGTAGATAATTGTATTTTCGAAAAAAAGTTTCTATTTTTCGGAAATTGTGTGCGAATGAGTTGTAGCTGTAATAATTATAGATAAAAATGATCTGTTATTCCATTGCAACTAAATCAGTATTTATATTCATCGTCATTCCAATAAATCTATGAAATTATTCCACAATATTAATATTTACTCTGGAATTGAAGTTAAACTGGCACAAGATTTTTCATTTTTGACAAAGCGGCCAAAGGTTGAAATATCGTTTGTTTATTTTTAAGAAATATACGGATTTTACGTAATAAGTGTGATCATTACTTTTGTATATTAATTAAATATTTCCTTGAATTCTGATACAGAGAACTCGCGTTTCATGATCGTTAATCATTGCTTAAATATTTATAGATGTAATCCAAAATTTTATCTAAAATAAAAAATATTTTTATCATATATCATTTAAATTATCCAGTACTACAATATAATACTACTAGTTGGTCGGCCTTCTATTTCAATGTCTATAAATATTTATGAAGTGTGCACTAATTTTTGTTCTTTTTAAACGCGTCAAAAAGCATTTATTTTTCAGTTTAATCAATACTCTGTTATTTTTTTTAACAAATAATTTCATATATTACTAACATTTTATACAGTATGAATTACGTGTCTGTTAAAATCAATTAAAAAGATTTTTTCTTGAAATTAAAATCGTAACATTTTTGCACATTTAATGACTTACGACATCGTGTCATATTAATCGTAATGTTTTTTGATTCTCGTTAGTAAACATTAAAATAACTACCAAGATGAAAAATAATGCTATGATATAATAATTACAGAAATAAAGTCACATTAATTTACTAATAAATATTGAAGTATATTAAGTAATGTTAATATGGTTTGAAAAATATTCTGAACATCAACAAGAAAATTATTCGGCACTGGGTGAGTAAAATTAACGTAGTAACAATGGATTTGTGGAAAACGGATCTAATAAAAAATATGCTTAAAATATATATATGAATTATTCGACTTAGACGTGTTTCTAAAGGAACACTGAATTTATACCATTTGAACTATAAAGAAAAACTCTTAAGATTCTTAATAAACAAGGTTTGACAAGTATTAATATTTAGCGATTTGTTTATTTTCATTATAGTGTTTATACATCATCGATTTTCATTTTTGTGTTTGGTGCGTTTATTAAAAGTTCCTACGAAAATAGTACTCTTAACTTTAATAGGAATGCCAATCAAGAACACAATCGTTTCACATGGGTGATTATCATGCAAATAAAGTAAAAATCAAACATATTTGCTGAGCAAAATCAGTTGTGAAACGAACCAATGGTGAATAATATTTGGATTGTGTCAAAATGTTATTTTCATTGGCTTTTATATATAAACGTACTTTTTTTTTTTTTTAACTCCTCTCGTGATGTCAAACAAAACACTAACTTTTTTTTATGTATATATATATATATATATATGGGCGTACTTTTTCCCCGAATTTTCAGTAAACCCCCTGGTTTGAAGAAAATCAAAAACCGTTATCGAATCAAACTGAATGATTTATTTTCACTAACAATGAGTATCACGGCGCGAAACAGTGTGTTTTTCGTCGATAACGTGGAAAATGCACAAAACTTGTCACGAGTCGCTGACGG